GATTGGTGCAGTGTGAGTAGGTGGCGACAGGGATGTCCAGGATTGGATAAGACCATGAATACAAGGATAAGGTCACCCCGTAGACGTCGGTACCTAAGCGAGTAGAGGCCCAGGCACTGAAGTCGTTGTGGATAAGCTAGGTTCTTGGGACCTCGGACCAGTTTGGTTGCTCGACGTTGTGGGGCTTGGAGTATGCGTTGGTCCTTCAACGACCAAGGGCTCCAAGCCTGAATAACAAACTCCAAGTGGGGTCGAAGAAAAGCGCTGAGGAGGAGGCGGAAATTGCTGGGTTCAATTTGACCGAAGGCTCGTTTCAGCAATCCCACCATGCGGTTAGCAGCAGCTGCTGCTTTCTGGCAGGAAGCGGATGCGGAAAGACTGGTCTGGGTAATGATACCCAAGTCCTTTTAGGCTGAAGTGATCTGGAGGATAGCCGCTCCCAGGTAATATATAGGAGAAAAAGCGGAAGGGCAGGTAGAAAGGACGCGATATTTCGAAGCGTTAAATGGTAGGTTGTTTTCTATGGACCACTGATGTAGACGGTCGAGGTCCATCTGAAGTGCGTGGGCATCGTTCGGAAGGTTAATTGTGCGCCACAGCTTGGCGTCATCCGCGTATAGTAGCAGCGAAGACTGCACTTGCGGTGTGACGTCGTCAATGAAGGCTAGGAAGAGGTGCGGTCCGAGAACAGACCCCTGTGGAACTCCGCTTGTGGCAAGGATGCGCGGAGACCACGCTCCGTCAACGCGTGCTTGGACGGTACGGTTTTGAAGGTAGTTCCGGATCCAGCGCATCAAGGCCCCTGAAACGCCGTAACACAACAGTATCCGCAGTGGAATGTTGTGGTCCATCTTGTCGAAGGCTTTGGCGAAATCCAGGAATATAGCATGCATTTCTAGGCCAGAGTCGGCAGCAGTCGTCCAGCTATCCCTGGCAAGTAGCAGGTTACTCAGGCATGACCGTTGACGCCGAAAACAGTGCAGACAATCAGATAGCAGTTTCTGGGCCACCATGTAGTCCGTTAAAACGTCTGCGACGATCGATTCCATCAATTTGGAGATCGTAGAGAGGAGGGTTATCGGTCGGTGATTGGCCGGATCCTTGCGAGTACCGCCTTTGTAGCTTGGTGTATTAGTCCCACGTTTCCAATCATTGGGAACTTTGCCTTGCGAGAAGAAGTGGGTGAACAGCTCCGCTAGGGGTAAAGCTAGAGCTGCAGCGCACGCTCGCAAGTGCCTTGGTTGGAAACCACCAGAGCCAGGAGTGGCCGTTAGCCACAGAGATTTGAGTTTCGCCAGGACCTTCTCCGGAGTGAAGTGAACAGTAGTCAGGGAAGCTGAGGGTGAAACCGATGAAGGTACCGTCGTTGTATGCATTGCTGAAACGAAGAAGGTGGATGCGCAGTGCTGTAACCGGGCTTCTTTTGCCTCATTAGCTCTATTCGTGAGCCCTGCGGGGGTCGCCAATGCAGTGCCACCGTGCTTGACTTGTCGAAGACTGTTGAATTGGATTGGATTAAAATTTACGCGTAAGCTGACGCCGAGGCTCACTCTTATCTTCTAGTGCAAGATGGACGCATTGGTTACGGCTAGACAAACAACCTCCTCGTGGTGCCAGCTGGGTGGTTCGGGTTTAACCCGTTCCAGCAAATAGTTCTGCGGCAGTGTTCCAGGACGTGGTGGATTTTCGCCTGGCAAGCGTTCTCCCTATAAAAAGCCACAAATGTCTGTTTAAGAACACTGTGACGTGGCGGATGTGACTCGCCACAAAATAAAGTCACTGGCCCGTGGATATCCGGAAAGTGCTATCCAACCCACAGAAATCAATCGCTTATGCTCACATTCCTGAGGATAACAACCAGTGAAAATACTCCGGCATATTCAAAGACACAAGCTACATTAATACAAAATTACATACGTATATACACGCATAAACTTACATACACTGTTATGCCAAACATGTACTTTTTGTACATTTTTGATCACATTATGTTAGCTAAGCATGATCATGCCTGTAAAGATGTGCCTCGCCCTTGTCGAGAATAAAAGTTTATTTATTTATTTATTTATTTAATATTCCCACGGAGTGCCCGTTGGTTGGGAACGATAGTTTCTCCATGCCGTGTTCCTGGAGGCAATCTACTTCCGTGTACGACTTCCGATGAGGGCTGGGAGTCTCTTCCCCATGGAAACTTATTTGTAGGTCGTCGTAGTGGAGCAGAGTTCACGTAGGGTAAGGCAACAGCTTGACCATACGATGTCGGCACTCGATTGGGCTCGGGTGACCAGTTGCTAACGGAAATGAGAAGGTTCAACTTTCCGTAAGCAGCCCAGCGTTTAGTATAAATTGGCGTGCTGACGAGTTTTTCGGTGAAGCATATAAATTCGAAACGAAGGACGCTGTGTTCGCTAAGCCCCAAAGGGGCATCATACTCAACGTGTTCAATCAACAGTTCTTCGTTTGTGAGGACGAGATCTACCAGGGATGGTTGGTTGTTGGATCGGAATGTGGTCGGCAGACACGTGTGGTTGTACAACGGGGCCGTGTGAAGATGATCAATGAGGCCTGGTGCAAAGGAGTTAGTAGACCGGACAGAGTGAAATAGACGGGGCAGGTTGAATTCAACCCTGCTAAGAAAGTGTGTGGGCTTGTGGGATAACATAAGGTGGACGTCGTGCAGTAGTTGTGCGTCCTTCTCGGGGAGTTGTTTGGGGGCGGTAAATGATATCAAGGCAGCTGGAGTGTTTGACGGTTAGTACGACCTCGCACCACATGGCGTCTGGAGGGCAGTGTTTGTTAACATGCTGCAACTGAGGGAGATGTCATGGTACAGTGCGACACCGCCACCTGGGGTTGCGCGGTCGGAGCGGAGAACTGACATGTGAGGAAGTTGGATTTCACCGTCGGTTTTGTCTTCGGAGAGCCACGTTTACGTTATGGCTATTAGGTCCGCTGGTGTTGACAGAAGTCGGGATTGGAGCTCCGGAAGTTTGGACATGAGGCCCTGTGCGTTCGTGTAGGTCCACGGGAGGCCCGTTTGAGTGATGAGCGCGGGAGTATCTAGGGTGTTACGGTCCGCGGATGACCGGCAGTGCACCGTAATTTGCTTTAGAGGGGTTGAGCTGATAAGGTTTGTAGTTGGGGAAGCAAGGTGTGGGTCGTCGGAGCACAGATGGGTGCTGGCAGCTGGGTCGTTGAAACGCTGAAGGTTGGAATGTGTAGGTGAGTAGACTACCCCAGGCAGTGAGGCAGATGGTTCGGTGATGGACCTTCTGAGGACGATTTGGTCAGGGTGTGTCGGTACCGAGTTGGCTGCTGCTATAGGTCTGTGGGAAGCTGTGCGCCTCGGCACCGGGTGCCCATCAGGACGCAGACGGATATCTGGTGGTGCTCGTCTTTTATTAGCATACCAGATGGTGAGGGCATCGGTTGCCATGCTAGCGGTGAGGAATGTCACTTTCAGGAGATGGGGGCTGTTCCTGTATAACTTGCTGGACGAGGTAGGCGGTGAACGTCCGTTGTGATTACGTTGACAATATTAAGTGTCTGCTGAAGGAACCGCCATTGATTACAGTCATGCTGTTGTCGTTGTTGTAAGGTTGCGTCAAGGGCATGCAGTTCTGGGACACCATGCACTATGATGGAGCATAGTTGAGTGCGTGGCGTCAGTTGCTGTCTGCGCGCAGCGCGTTTAGTCCAAGGGAGGTCAGGGAAGATACGAATTTGGTAAATGCCGAGAGACACATTGTTTCGGAGTAGGTGTGCTGACAACAGGACATCCTCCATAGCCGAGCCTGGCTGCAAGTCAACACGCAGAAGTCTTGGCTTACCGGCGCTCGGAGATGAAGGGTGGCGAGTCAGTCTTGTGAGACTAATGGGTTTTGTTTCAGGGAGGTTTAACGTAGTACAGATTGAGCTCCACATAGTGGAATCATGAGAATGTCGATCCTGAAGTTGCAGTATTGATCGGGCACGTTTGTACATATAACAGAACTAGGTGTAGGGCTACTCGTTATTCGTTTAGACGAACGCGGATGTGGAGCGGTAGCAAGCTTACTTGGTGAGAGGGCCTCCGTCGGAAGCGTTGGTCGTCGGCGAGTGTTGGGCAGACCGGCAGTTGGTAACGGTGAGACGATACGTGATTCAGGACGGTTGGGAGGTTGCTGTCGTCGTTTGGCTAGACCGTCGACTTTCCGCAGTAGACTCTGTAGCTGTTCTTCCAGATTAAGCAAGCGCACTTCTGAGCGAGTATTGTTGCTAGGCGGCTGGACGAATCGTGGTGACCGGGGCGACTGCGTCTGCAACTGCTTGTTACGCAGTGTAGAGGGCGGGTTAGTGGGAGACAAGATTACAGCACCGAGCACTGGGCAAGTCGTGGAGGAAAGGTCGCTGGGAATATCCCGCACGTAATTCGCAATCCTGGGAATGTTTGTGGATTCGAGCGACAGAATGCAATATCAGTTGCATGGAGCGAATTGGAGCTTGAACACTGTGAAGACAGATCGGGCAGGTGATGGCTTTGGAACGAGGTCCTACACGCTGAGTGCAGATAGAGCAGTTGTTCGGTGGCCGCATTGGCGTATTGGGCGAGGCCGAGATGATCGGCATGGTCAAACCACTGACACACAGATGATACAACTAGCTGCAAAAAACGAAGCAATTAGGGACGCACCATCCGAATAATGTTTCAAGCGGCTGCTAGACAACCATTCGCTGCGAATGCTAGGATATTGTGGCCATCACTACAACTGCGACGAAGCTTTGAGGAAGGTCGTAACGCAGTAACGCACGTAACACCCAGTATGCTACGGAATCGATGGAAATGACAAGGGTTTTCCATCCTGATCTTTATAACAATGAACGCAATGCATAATTGAAGCAATGGGTAAAAGTTTGCAGTAATAAATAATCAGAATAAAATTGGTATATATAAACTTTAAAATCAACTTGAGTTGCGTAAAACCAGTATACTTGATAAAGCGTGTAAATGCTGGTCAATTATTCTTCATCGCTCGATCGCCTAAGTTCGGCCGGTGTACTTAAACATTAACCAGATTATTCCCTTACCTTTCTCTGCCACTAAAGTGGTCCAGCTCGCGATAGGCATGGATCTTGCACTTTCTCCCTTGGAAGTTGTCAAGCGTTATGTGGCCAATTTTGAGAGGAAGCAGCGAAACCTAGCCAAACGCAAAGTATGTTAGATAGATCTTTTGAGAATTTCACTCTAGAGCAAGCTCGATCAGTACCGTGACAAACTTGCGAAAGGCGAGTCGTTGAACGAGGAACAGAAGAAAGCTGTGGAGGATTATGACTGCGTCGTGCATAATATAAACATGTTGCATGAAATTATAGCACAATCCAAGGAACTTGTCGATGATGTTGAGGAGGCTGTTAAAAACGAGGAATCGCGAATTCAACTGTCGCACGAGCAACACACGATATCCTTTCTCCATATGCACGTATGCTTAATGCGTCTATTGACTTCCTTGGACTCCGATGAGGTTAGGTCGGCAGTTCTCAAGTCAACATCTGAGAACCATCTCAAAATGCTGGACACTGTTCGTAATCTCGTTACTGCTCCAGTGCTTGACCATTGGCCAGGGACTACACCTGCTAGTTTGGCTTCCGCTCCAGCATTCGTCCATGATCACCCTGAGGTAAAATCAGCTGCGCTTCATGCTTATCACTTAAGTACGGGTCGGCCGACCCCAATTCCAACACCTGAGAATTACGATGGTCCACCGAAGAAACTGAATTTCAAAGAGGCTCGTGCGCTGTGTCTTCGTCTTTTGGCGACGCCTCCGGTGATCCGTTCGTTGGGGTTACGAACCCGAACATGTTCTTCCACTTCGGTATCTGAAGCTCCTAAGCTTGAGCATACGACTGAGTCGGCGAATCTGAACAAATCATCACGCGCAGTTTATCACGACAATTCGCACCCTGTCAACCAGGAGACAACGGTCCAGGATGTCGGCGCCCATTTTCACACCTCGCCAAAGGATCTCGAGCAAGTTAATGTCGTCCCAATGCCCGTTATTTTGGACCAGGTTATTAAACCTTTAGGAGGCACCTTTAATTTCCTCCAGGTGAGCTTTCTAAGTTTACGTGCTTTTTAATGCGTCCCTAACTGCTCCTACCAGTTAGCTTTTATCCTGTGCGGCTGTCAGAACCCAGCGTGTGAGTTTTCGCACTGGATCAGCGAACGTTCTAGGTCACATTGTCAGTATGTTCTTGACTGTTATGCCTCTTAAGTCGTTGCGTTTCCCCCTTTCTGTAGCGTGATCTCTTGCCTTGTGCGATTAACAGGCTGGTTTGCCTTATTTTTCTTGTCACATTTGTAAGTTGCTTGATTAAACCATTAGTGCTCAACTTACTTCTGTATGTGACTTTTGGCACAGGAATGATCTCGATTATGTTTTGGTGGCACCCAGCTGCTTGTTGCTATGACCGAACGTCATCTTTTCTTCCAATCTCGGTTACTTCATTTTCCGATATAGATTTGAGCCACTATCGTTATGCGAGCACTCAAATTTCGTTACGTTGCAATCACCAACTGTCCAATACAGTACTGCTGCAGTTATTTTCTGCCAGTTTTTACTGAAAACGCCTACGAGCATCGTAACACTTAACCACAACTGTCGTCGTTCCCTTATCTCTACTCTTATTACTATGTGACTTATTTCCTGATCATCCCTGTTGTTGTTACTCTTGTCATACGGCGACTGCGTCCGCCGCACCTCGGATGCTGATAAACAGGAGATTTAATCGTATTTCAGTTTTCGTTTGTTTTTGCTATTAGCTATGGCAAATTTTCTCTTGTACCGCGGGGAGTAAGGTAAACTGTTGCTATGGTGTGACTTTCTAGCTTCAGCCAAATTCGTTCATGAGATAATGTAATCCCACTTTGTACATGAGTGTCTTTAATATCACTACCACCAAATTCATTTATTACATATATGTCTACATTCTTTTTCGTGACCACTTTGTACTTTGCCGTCGTGCTTAAGTAACTCTCAAGGTGAGTCTCTAAATAAAGGATGAGAAGTGGAGTGAAGGATTCTGTTTTAAAATTCCAACACTAATCATTAGAGAATCGTCACCTGCAGTCTCAACGAAGAGCTCACAAACAGCTAGCCCTCGCTAAAGAGTAGGGTGACATCAGTTGGACAGATTCTTTGCGGCTTCCCCTACGTTGCATCACAACCCGCCATACGCACAGATAAATCGACATCTTACACGCTTTAAACAGGGCGTCCGATTAGCCAAACACAACACTGTAAAGCTTGCCAATGCGCTTGCCTCGATTGATGCCCCTTCGACAGGCTAGGCTGCATTGGGAGTATGCGGTCAGAGGCGATCTCAACTTCATGGTTAGTCGCCAACAGTGTCCGAGGACAAACGCATTTCTAGCCTTTACATCATGAGTTACGGTGTTTGGGCAATCGAGGAATGCACGGATTCCCGAAATCTAACAAACCTCGAGAAAGAAACGTATCCGACTCTCTGGAAATTTTACTATCCAGGAACGCCTCTAGCAAAGCATTTAGTAAACGGTTTGGGCTTTCCACCAATTTTTTTCTTTTTTGGGGCACGCCATTGTCTTTCGGATACCGACGATTTGGCGTGACTCACCTAGAAGCGTGCTTCAAAAATTGGCTCCACGATTGGAGTAACTTGTAATTTGATCCCCATCTGGTTGCCGATGCGCCAAATGTCTAAATTACGGTCTATGTGACTGTATTTAACAGAGGGACCATTTCACACCACTTGGTGTAGTAGTCCACTATCACCAAAACGTAGCGACAGCGGTCTCTGGTAGGTGTCAGTGATGTCAATGCCTACCATCTCGTCCGGAAAACTTGTCATGATAGCTACGGGGGCCCAAAGCGTGTAGTTGTGGGATTCTTGTTCCGTGCACAATGGGAACAAGACTTACAGTAGGTTGCAATATCCCCTCCCAAGTATGGCCGTCGAAACCGAGGGCAGATCGCCCCTTCTGTCTTATTTTGTTTAGCATACTCCAGTTCTTTATGCGTCGTTCGCATTAATTCCTGGCTTGGTGCATATAGGCCATTTTGCTTTTGAAGTACGTAAGACCATTCGCTACGCGTAAATAAGACCAGAGTGACCAGAGACACACCGTTTCCCAACTTGCACCTGTCAGCTGTCAATGCTTACGTCCGCACTCGACTCTTGAGATACGACAGTATAGCAGAATCAACTCAGGCTCAGTTGACTGCACCCGAGTGCACTTCCTAGTCTCTGGCGCATCGTGGATGACACCGGATGCGCATACCTACGTGCATGGGCACTATCCATCGTTCTTGATAAGTCTATGTGATAACGCATCAGCGTCTGCATGCGTTGTGCCAGCCCGGCACTTAGGTATCACGGAAGCCAAGGTAAAGACCGGTGATAACTCCGTACGTTGAATTTGCTACGTAGCATTTTTCCTGCGTTGTGCAGTGATTTCGTTCTCGCCGCGACAGAATTCTGCTTCTAGGTCTTGTTTTCTCCGGTGTATCCTTTTGCAGCACAGCGCCGATACCAGCCTCACTGGCATCCTCGATCAAAATGAAATTGACGGCTACTGGCAATGTCTGTAAATTTAAGCATTTTATCTTCACACAAAGCGGTTTGCACGTTCCTAAACGTTTTTTATGAGCGGCTTCCAAGACGAAGGTCTTGTCTGCTATCAAAAGTCTCTTCAGAGCGGCGGCGAGTCCGAGGACGAATCTCCGGTAGTACGAGACGAAACCGAGGAAGTTGCATAGCCGTTGAAGGCTATCGTGATGTTCAAGTTAGCAACGAGACTGGACCTTAACGTGGTACGATGGTTTGCCGTACCTCCTTGACCCATTGAGCTATACTGAATGGTGCCTCCGGTCAGCTTGAGAGCTACTCCTACCAGGTTGGTCAGTGGTGATAGGTTAGACAAACTCAGTCTCCTGGTCCTCCAGCTCGGGGGTTTGAAATGGGATAGCGTCCATTTCTTTAAAACTAAATTATTGCCTCCTCCCCGCTGCTTTGCGGACAGGCTTTTGAGCCAAAGGCTTTGCATGAGGACCCTAATCGTCCTCCTGTCTAGGTCTGGGTGCCCTGGCAGTATCCCAGTCCCCATACAACCATGACATTTTCTTCAAACATAAACTTCATCCTGCATCGGTCGTCGCGCAGATTATCAAGGGTCGCCTTATCTGCTGCATACAGCAGGGCGGATAAGCGAAAACATTCTACTGCTGGCGCCTCCTTTCTTTTCCACATGTTTCTCTTACTCCCATCCCGACCCCCATTACTAACCTTCCTTCTACGATTCCCAGCTTAATTGACAGCACCCGAAGTGCCACTGGGGTAGAACCATCTGCAGCCACCTCGCGCCACGCACCAGACGCCTATCGGCAACAGTCCCTTATAAGGCCACGCTGTCCCGTTTTCATGGCGACGTTCAACGTTCGCACTCTAAGGCAAATAGGTCAACAGGCTGCACTCGCACGCGCCTTGGACACACTAGGTATTGCCGAAGTGCCACTTGGCGTCTTCCTGTAGCTGGCCAGCAATGGACCCAAATTGACCACATAGCCATAAGTCACAGGTGGCGTGGTTCCACCCTGGATTGCCACTCGTGCTGGAGTATCTGCGTCGACTCTGATCATGCCTTGGTACGCCGTCGTTTCTGCATGAAATTTATCGGGAGGCGCACCAAGCGTCCCCTCCGATTGGCAACGGAGAAATTGTCTCATCCCTCGGTCAGGTAAGCCTATCAAGACGCACTGCATACCGAATGACATCGAGTTTCAGTGGAATAGGCTGTTGGCCGCTATGCACGACGCAGGAGCATCTGCTTGTGGCACTATCAATCGTCACCGCACCACTCACTGGATATCCGAGAGGTCGGTGAACCTGTTGGCATCTAGAAGAAACCTCCCGGCGGGCTCTGAGCACAATGTGATCAGACAGGCTATTAGGCGCGAACTAAAGCGGAGCTTACATGCTGACAAGTAAGCCTGTTCGACCCCTCGGATTCAAGAAATGGAGGAGGTAGGAGCAGTAGGCAATTATCGCAAGCTCTTCCATCTGATCCGCAACACTGGTCACAGCAAACCAGGCGTCAGTAAGACAATCAGAGACAGCGCGGGTGCAATGATACACAATAAGGAGCGCCGTATGGCTCGTTGGGCGGAACACTTTCATGATCAGTTCAGTTGGCCCTTTGCTCCCGGACCTTTTCCTACTCAGGCGATGCAGGATGAGCCATGTTCGGTTAGTTTAGAGCCTCCGTCGGAGGCCGAGATCCGAAATGCGATCACAGCTCTGAATCGTTTTCGTGCCGCTGACCTGGATTCCTTCCCACCTGCACTATTTAAGAATGGAGGTGAGGTCCTCTGCAAAGCACTGACTTTCCTATTTGAACGTATCTGGAAGGGTGTTCCGGCTGATTGGAGTGAATCGATTATAGTCGCAATGTACAAGAAGGGCAGTCGCACGGACTGTTCTAACCACAGGGGTATTAGTCTAACGCCAGTTGTGACAAGATTACTGTCCTCGATTCTCGTTCGTCACCTCACTGTGGAACGGGAATCTCGGATTAGGGAAGAGCAGGCCGGTTTTCGCCCAGGACGTGGCTGTATAGACCATGTATTCACTTCGCGACAGGTGCTAAAGCAGCGCCACGCATACCGCAGACCGACAATAGCTGTGTTCCTTGATTTCAAGAGTGCGTTCGATTCGGTTGCTCGATCGATTTTGTTCGAAATACTTGCGCTGAAAAGTTTTCCCATAAAGTATGTGAACATTCTCGTGCTCTATACTCGAATACTACAGGCCGCGTCAGGGTCTACGATGGCCTATCGCTTATGTTTCCGACTACAAGTGGCATTCTTCAGGGTTGTCCGATTTCCCCATTTTTGTTCAATTTCGTCGTGGATTCTATCATGGGATGTTCCCTTGCGGAATCTCACGATGTAGGCTTTGAAGTGCTGCCTGGTGAAAGGTTAGTTGATCTAGATTATGCGGACGATATCGTCTTGCTTTTCGACGATGTTGCGGTGGCACAATCAACCCTGGAATAGTCTATCTTGTTATTTAG